GCTCTCAGCCCAACTCACCTCACAGGGTTGTTGTTGTGGAAAAAATAGGAGGAGGAAGGAGTGTTAGGTATGCTCACCCCCTTGAGTTATTTATAAAAAAAATAATAAAGGCGGGATTAAAAAATCTAAAAAAAAAAGATTGCATTATTTGAGATGAGGGTCTCCATTTCTAAGCAGAATTAGAATCAAGTTGGAGAACATTTTCCCTGTGATTCACACAAGTGAAAAATCTCTGGCTAAAATCTATAGTATGTAAAACAATCAGTTGGAGCAATAGCCAGTATACCTGGGTGGCCTTAAATCAGTGGTGTACAGAGTGGGCGGGCATTCCCCCCCCCCCCCGGGCGGTGCAGGGAAAAAGGGGGTGTGGTGCCGAGGACGAGGAGGCTGGCGATGGGTGTGGAGTTGGGTTGCTACTGTCTATGTGGTGGAGGTGTAACAGCAATGGAGGAAAAAAAGTGCCTTCAAGTTAGTTTTGACTCTTGATGACTGTCCCCTGCAGCTTTCTTGACAGCATTTTTCATTTTGACAGTTTGCCATTGCCGTCTTCTTCTAGGGCTGAGAGATAGTGACTGGCTGAGGGTCACCCAGATGGCTTTGTGGCTAAGGCAGGACTAGAATTCACAGACTCCTGGTTTCTAGCCTGGTGCCTTCACCACCACACCAAACTGGCTATCACCAATGAAGTGGGGGAGGGGGGTTAAAAATTATCTGCTCCAAGTATCAAATATGCTAGGAATGCCACTGCCCCCTACCTTTAGCCCACTCTCAGTAATGTAAGAAATGAGAACACAAACGTATCTTATAAAGTTAAAACTTTATAAGAAGGAAAACAGTCATTTGAATGTGTGAAAAATGGCTCCAGTTTATCCTTGTTCCACATTGTTACTGGCAGTGGGGACAATCCTGGTATATCTGAATGTGACTCACGCTATGCCAAACTGAAGAGTTAAAATTATGCAAAGGCACATTTGCAGTAAATTCATGTACAAATTGCACCTTGAATGCCTGGAGTTCAGATCCCAGCATGCACCATATTAATTTACTGACCAACCTTATAAAGCACAGAGTATCTTGTAATTATGGCCTTGCCTTCTAACTGAAATTTCAGAATATCCACCAATCTTCTGTCAAAGAATCTCAGGGTAGGAGACCATAAATAAAAACAGTAAATCCAGTAAAACGCTGAAGAATAGTGAAGTACCCCACTGTTCTTTTGTTTAGTTCTTCCTGTTCCAGTCAACTATCTAGCACGTGGGGAGAGACCATCCAGCTGTAAAACTTGCTAGAGCTCAAAGCAACAAGATAAACAAAAGAAAGCATTTTTCACACTGGTCATAAATAACTCATACCTGCCAACATTTCAGAAGAAGAAACAGGGAAATGAATATTTCAGTGTGCCTTACATAGCACAATGCACACAAAACTGCTTTTCTCCCTCCCTCCGTTCCCCCCCACGTCAATATATATCCTCTCAAGCCTAAAGGAATAATCTTCATATACAGTCAGGTCCAGAAATATTGGGACATCGACACAATTCTAACATCTTTGGCT